ACTGTGGCTAAGTAGAAGCCAAGGCAAAGGCTTATTGATCGGCCCGATCATTCGGATTAGTTAGATAGGTTTTAGGCAAAAACCTAAGTAAGCACCTCGGTGACTAAGCTGCTCTACTTGCTTGCGGATGAATAAGCAGTTGTGGCTGCTTGGTGACAGAGCAGGATGCTTACTCTGGTCATGGGTAGACCGTGGTAGGCTTGTGTCCGAGTTACACCTGGTCTTATGTATCATCACCACCTCGTGTCGATCCTAGGACGTTACCCATGGGTGAAGAATGGGCTTGCTGGCGCGAGCTGTCCAGCTGTTCACCTGCTTACCTGCGCCTATATATAGGCCGACTCGACCCAGTCTGCAGGACACACGCAAAAAAATCTCTTTCTTGTCCGAACATAACTTCTTTTCACCGCAAACTTTCATTGCAAACGGTAGCCTAGTCGTGATCGTCCCATCTGATCGGTCCGTCCGAACCGAGCAGTCTATTTTTTAGCCCACCGTGAACCATAGAGTAGTTTTGCCGCGAGCCTTGTCGAGCAGTTTTGGGAAAACTTAGGGTAAGTGTTCCTAGTCCAAAATCGTTCATGTCTTAATTGTTTTCTCGTTTTGATCTCGATACTAATCTTAGTTTCTTGATCAATTGACCGGAACCATGTTGGAAACTTAGGGTTCAGTTTCTGTTAGGTTTCAACGGAATTTTGAATTTCTGCGAGCAACCTTGATCCGTTCTGATCCAGTTTAGTGTGCTAGTCTGAGTCTAAAGCGAACTGAGAGTAGGAAACTTTGGGCAAAACCGCGACATTTCACTAAATCAAAGGTGAGTTCGGAGATGCTTGTTGTGTGTTTATTTAATTTGCAAGTGAGGTTCGTTACCGCATAATTAGTATATCTGCTAAGTAATGCTTAAAAGCTTTAGCATGTGAAAATTACTAAGTTGGATTGTTGATGCAAATTTATAATTTTTCTTATAACTTAAATTGTTAGTAAATATACAAATTATGATGATCGCGGTAAGACGTTCCCTTGAGACCATGACTTAGCTAGTACGTTGAGTATTAGTTTAAGTACATGAAGACACGGAGAGACGGGATTGCAGCATTTGGCCGTGTACTGCATGACGATGCAGAATTTCCGGTGCGGATCCTTATACACATAAGGCCATTGGAACAGTGAAGGATCTTAAGTCCTTAGCCTTTGTGGCTTTGGGCTGAATGATACCTTGTGATTTGACGTGAAGGGAAATAGTTTACGTGAAAGGCCATATTGAAATTATAGTGACATTGCATAACTTATCGCATGTTTTCGTTAGATTTGCATGCTTGCGTGTTGGTTGTTATTTTGGGTTTGGTTGGGAATTGATTATTGAATGTTAGGGGAGCCCAGACTCATTGAGCAACTAGTGCTCACGACTCTACTTGTGTTGCAGGTAACCATTAGCGGGTAGACAACCGGAGGCCAAATGAACGTTAAGAAATCCAGTAGTAGATTTCCTTGCCTTTTTGTAAATGAATAATGTTTATTATGTATATGAACGTTTGGAGTGTTAGACTCACGATTGTATATGCTTGTATCACGTTTGGAACTTATGTATAAATTATATATAAAAATTTGAGTTTACATAAATTCGGGTTTCATGTGATACTAGTCTTTGTCTGGATGATCGGGTTGGCAAGCCTTGAGATATATCTAATGGGAATGGACACTTAGAAGTCTTGTCTAGGGAATTTGGATATGTTCTGGGAACCTCTGATCGGACATCTAAGTGTTCGTCAGTAGCGTTTCCGATCTATAAATGATCGGGGGCATTACAATCAATCACATGGTATCCAAATAAAAAAACACTTAAGAAACACGTATGTTATCTTATAACGCTTAAAATTTTTATCTTACAAAATTTAATTTGCATGATACTTAGATTGAAATTTTATATAACATAATGTTTATAACGTTTTTAAGCGTTTTTGAAGTAATTGATAACGGTAAATGATTCATCATTATAACCATTATGTTATATAAAATTTTAAAATGTTACATTTTAGTTGGATTTATATTTGTAACATATGTATTTATGAATTCATGTTAAAAACTGTAAATATGTAGAGACTGTTGTAAAAAAAAAATATATGTAGAGATTTCCAACATGATATATAGACTTACTTGAAATATTTGATTGGTTAATTTAATTGATGTATCCTTTAAAACTCTCATAGAGCGACTCATATAATTTTTTCACCAAATATCTCCTTAATTAATATATAAAAGGATTCTCGTTGGACCTCTTCACCATTGACCAGGAAAAACGTTTATCGGCAGACTTCTTATGAATTCTGCTATTAATTCAATTAATTAACAGACTTCTGAAGAAGTATACTAATAAATTAATTCGATATTTGGTCAAACACAAAACTAACATCTTTCCAGAGTAGACTTCAGATGGAGTATACTAGAAAAGTCAATAATTTGGTCAATTGCAAATGTAACCCCTCCTTTTAGAGCAGACTCTATCTACAGTCTACTCATTTCAGCAGACTTTTGATAGAGTCTACTGGATATCGACAGTTTTCCGCGTATTTAGTAGACTACAAAAGAAGTCTACTGGAAAAACTCAAACTCTGGTCAATTGGAAAAATAACATTTTTATTTCGCAGATTTCATAGAGAAATTTGCTAAAAAAGTCAAACTATGGTCAAATGCAAAAGTAACCTCATAGACTTCTAATAGAGTCTGCTTGCGTTTGTCGTAATTACAAAAATAACTCATTGTGTAGACTTCATCTGCAGTCTACTAATAGACAGCCGACGCGAGTCTACTGTAGAAGTCTGCTTGTGAAGTTTGCAGATTTAATTTACTAAGAAATGCATTTAAAACTTATTTATAATGAATTTTTTAGATTTTCTTGCTCCCGCATGGGTATTATCTAATGTGTTTCCTTCTGTGTGAATTTGACATATTTAGGTGCAATATTTATTGTATAAATCAATTTTCTTGTTTGAGTAGTACTTAGCTGTTGTTGGTAGACGTCTTACTATAGTCTACTAGTAGACTGCATTTGTAGTCTGAATTGTAGTTTTTAATTAAAAAATTATTTTAAAATTATATATAATGAAATTTTCAGATTTTCTTCATCTAAAATGTGTGCTAATTATTTTTCTTCCCTATGGCTGAGTTTGACATCTTCTGTTATAATTCAACTAATTTTTAATGATTAATTAGTCTTTCGCTTTTTCTAACAGACTGCGTATGAAGTCTACAGAAGATGTTCGAGACCTAATGTGTTTTTTATTTTTTTTTTTACAGAGAATGGTTCAGTTAGTTGTTGTCTATGGAGAATGAGTTATTCAAGATAAGGCGTGGCAATTTGTGGTTGATAATCTTAAAGGAGGGAGACTGTTTTTTTTTAGTGATGATTGCACTCATTGTGATCTTCTTGAGATGGTAAAAGATGAATATAAGGTGGAATCCGACTTGGTGGAGATCACTTATTCACTACCGGAATCAATGTTGCAACATATGGCGCCGGATACTCCTCCAATGCATGTCACAAATGATAGACAAGTTCAGAATTTGATCGAGCTAAGTAGAGCGCATGTTATACGTCTTTGTGTCTCGATTCGGTTGGAGATGGATTGTGATGTCAACAATGATTGTGATGGAATTTTGGACAGTGGTTGTGAAGAATATACATACGTAGATGCTGAGGAATGCGAG